CCGCCCCTGCAGAACAGCCCGCAGCGCCGTGAGGGGCAGCTCTGAGGCCGCGAGCAGAGAACACCTACCCTTTCGAAGCGGGAGATCTTCATGGTTTTCAGTGTTGCAGCATCGAGCATCACCGGGGGCCCCAGCTCGAACACGTGGCGAAGGAATTCGTTCGCCTTTGGAAAAGGAAAGGTGAGAGGCTCGGATGGGCCCAGCTGTTCTGCTGCAGAAAGCGGGTCTGGTGGGGCAGGTGTGCGAGGGGTGGCTGTGAACTGGGTCACGACTGCCCTCACTCGGAGACCCTGTTCCCAAGGCCTTGAACCTGGAGCTACGCCCCCGTTTCCACAAAGATCTCGGTGCTCTCCGGGGACACAGACGGAGCCACGGGACACGTTCCCGGTCCTGGCATGCCAGCCTCCGTGTCCCGCTGTGTCACGTCTGCACATGCCGAGAGCATTCCGCACTCACTCACCGCACCGCCATTAGCAGCCGCCTCCCGAGCTCCCCAACTTCAGGGCAAGCAGAAGCCGCTGCTCACCTGCAGGTGGTACTGCAGGCCGGAGCCCAGGACCTCCCTGAACGTGTCGTAGGTGTGCTTCTTGACCCAGCAGTCGATGTACATGCGCTCAGGACCAAACTTCACCGTTTCTGTCGGAAAATCCCGATCCTGGCCAGCAGGAAAATCAAAATCGTATGAGGAAATAAAAGGCTGAAGAGATCCCACCCCAACACAGTTCCCAACACGCACGCGCACACACACGCACACAGACACACACACACACACCCCGAGACCCGTGAGGGTGTGGCTGGACTGAGACCCGTCCCTGGGACATGTGCGGATGCAGACGCAATGCCCACCCCCTGCCCCGCCTCAGGCAGGGTTTCTCTGGGCGGCAGACCTGCAGGCACTGCTCAGTGTGGGTGACCTGTAACGGCAGCCTCACTATTGTGCACGTTTTTCAATTTCAACGCCACCCAACCACCTGAAGAAAAGTCAACCACCTGTACGGGCATAAACTGCAGGGCATCTAGTTACAGATACTGAGGGATATACACTCTTCCCACTCAGATAGGGGAGGAGTCTGGATACTCGGGGCTACCACCACCCTGATGGGAACAAGATGAGTCCTCAGCTGGATGTCTGCTCAAGTGAGCCTTGTTTTAGAAGATAAAACCCAGAGGAAGTTTCATTAACCCCAAGTTTAGATCCTAGGGTCGGGGTGGGGAACCTCCTTTCTGCCAAGGGTCACGTGAGTCCTTATCACACCATTCACTTCCCACAATTCACTCCATATGAACGTGTGCTGCCAGGACAAGCGCCTGGATTTACTGACTCAGCAGTCCCGCCTGCGGTGGCCTCAGCAGGGCCAGACCCAATGGTTTCACGGGCCTCGGAGGGCCCCCGGGCTGGACCTCCCACCCCGTCCTCGAGGAGCTCTATGTCACATGCAGCTGAGGTTTTACTGCTAGAGCACAGGCTACAGCGAGGAAAGCAGCCCGGCCACTCATGAGCCGGGATCCACCACACCGGCCCGAGTGGGCCCGAGCACCTGTGCCAGCTCCCATTCCAGTCTCACAGGAGGTCGGGTGAATGAATCTGGCGATGCACTTAGTAAAGAACCACCTGCAGAGCCAAGACGTACTTTTACCTGCACACACACGCACACGGGCACACGCACATGCACGCACACACGGGCACACGCACACACATGCGCGCGCACACACGTCACTGGACTGTGCTCCACACTAAGACGGCCTTTCGCCGACAGCGCACCTTCCCCAGTCATTCCAACCCCGACCTTTCCAAAGCCACCTGCCTGCAGGCAGATGGCAGAGGCCAGTGCAGGGCCCGGAGCGTCGGACCTCGGCTTTAAGGTCTTGTTAAAACGCTGGACTTTGTTATTTCAGCTTTTAGGGCCTTCAAGCTCCTGAGGGGCAGGCGATAAGTCACCCTTCACACAGAAGCACTACCCTAAGTATGCCTGTGGTAAGTACTGCTGCTTAAGTCACGGCCAAGTACACCCACCCCAGTGAAGTAATTTCTATCACTACGAAAATGTTTAACTCAGCCGTGGGCAAACTACGGCCCGCGGGCCAGATCCGGCCCGTTTGAAATGAATAATTCAACTACTGAAATAAAAGACCCTACCCTTTTATGTAATGATGTTTACTTTGAATTTATATTAGTTCACACAAACACTCCATCCATGCTTTTGTTCCGGCCCTCCGGTCCAGTTTAAGAACCCGTTGTGGCCCTCGAGTCAAAAAGTTTGCCCACCCCTGGTTTAACTGCTTAAACTTAATAAAATACCTTTACACATCAGAATTAAAAGTAGAAGTCTTGCCTGGCCAGTGTTGCTTCGGGGTTGAGCACCAGGGGTCACGGTTTGATTCCCGGTCACAGCGCAGGCCGAGGTTACAGGCTCCACCCCCAGTGGGGGGTGTGCAGAAGGCAGCCAATCCATGATTCTCTCTCATCATGGATGTTTCTAGCTCTCTATCTTACTCTACCTTCCTCTCTGAAAAGAAAAATAGAAGTCTTCATTTCTGTTGTTAAAAACCCACTCAGTATCGAAATGAGAGAATTGTTTTGGTCACAGGTGAGGTTCAGTGACCCACCGCCCCTCTGGCTGGAACTCTGCCGGCGCCCGGCTCACCTCCACGGCCCGCAGCACGTCCCTGAACACCGACCGCTGCTTCCGCTTGTCCACTTTGGCCCGGTGCTTATTGCCGTCGGTCGCCAGGGCCCTCAGCATCTCGGTCAGAGACTCCATGTCCTCGTAAAGGAAGTCCTGCGGGAACACACTGGGTGAGTGCGACTGGTTCCTCCCCCCGCGCCCTCTGGAGCTGGCAGCCCACGTGGCCGACGCCCAGCAGTGCCGCCCAGAACACAAACCTCGCGCTGCTTTGCTGATACGGGCACACAGAAACGCTCATTCTCATGTAGGACTGACCCAGAAATCCTGGCCACAAGATGGCAGATGCCGGGGAGTCAGGCGCACACACGTCCGTTCATCCTGTCCTTTCCCGTCCCCACCTTCCCAGGCGTCCACAGATCCATCCCAAGCTCAGCAGCCCGGGAGCCTTCTAAAGCACCGGGTGTATGACGCACGGGCACGTTTCCGACAGGCACGAAGCGTCCACCCACGCGCACCCAGGCGACCACACCCGCGAGGGGAAGGCGCTTCAATCCCACCGGGTGGGAGCCCCACACGACCACGAGGATCTGCTCCAGAGCCCACGGGGCCCGGCAACAGTGCCAGTGGCTGCCCTCCATGAGGCTCTTATTCCGGGTGGTGGCTTTTACAGTTGATCCTGTCACACGGATCCCCATCTCTCCCCCTCTGCCACCCGTGTTTTTATCTCCTAGTTCTATCTTACAACCACGTTAAAAACCAAGGGATTAGCGGAGGTCATCTAGTTGACCCAAACGAGAGCAGACACTTAGGGGAGAGAAGGTGCGCAACCCCAGTTCTGCTATGAACGCCTGGTTAGCATTTCCTAACGCGCAGCAATAATCATGTAACATCCTATTCAAACGAGCAGCTCTTTTTCTGGGCATTCTTCAAACTGTGTATATAATTGTTTAATCTCGAAAGTATAAATGTGATTTCTTTTAATATCTGGAATGAAAAAGAATATTACACTGCTGGAAAATGAGGTTGAAACTAAAATAACAGACATTCTAACTTGCAAGCACTTATTTTCTTATTGTCGATATTTTAGAGATTGAATATCATCCACTGTTCTAACAAATGTTTTCGTCAAATGTTCCACTTCAGCCTCCCATGTCTGAGTTAGCTGGAAACAACACCCATTAAGACTCGTATCTAGAAAAGCAATTACCAAAGCGGATGAGGTAGTAAAGCAGATCAAAGTTATATTGATCTGTTTTAAATCCCAATAAATCCGACTCCATCTTAACAAGATGGGAACAGTCTTGCTTGCAGGAGTAAGTACATTCAGGCACCAGCAGTTTCCTGCGTATGTCACCGACTATGTGTTTTTTTTATAGTGTTGTCAAAAAAAGAGAATGTATGACAGATTTTAAATACATGTGGAAGAATAAAGCTGCAAGTAAGAAAGCTACGCATCCCTTAGTTTGTCCTAAGAACTAGGGACCCAGCAGGGGGGTCTCGGCACTCGCACCCCCAAGGCCAGTCTCTTGGCTGCCAGGCGGTCGTCACTGCTGGGCCCGTTTCATCCCCGCCCACAGCCGGCTCTGGGTGACTCAGCGCCGCACGCGTGTGGAGAGGCCCCTCATGAATATCAACACTCTTCACCAGCTCCTGGTCAGTTCCCGGACACCCTCCAACCCCCACCTCCACCGCTCACTCCTTTCACAAAGCTTACTCACGTCCTCACCAGAAGGAACCAACGAAACGCTCGGTTCCATGTGCACTTGTGTCCGGACAAGGGCCTGCGCCCGATGAAACCCTCGGGCCCCCGCACGTTCACTGGGCAGGGACCTAGGATGTGCACGAGTCCCACAAACCAACTCAACGTGTGTAACTACATTCGTGGCTCGTTCACTCTAAGCAGTTGGAGAGGGAAGAGGGGAGCTCATCTGGCAGGAGAGGAACCAAGGTAGACGCGACGGCGGTGGCTGGGCCTGCGGTTAGGGAGCCGTTCACTCGCTGGGCAACAGCAGCCTGATCACTCAACCCGAGTCGTTTCTCACGGAGAATCCTGAGCCACTGACAGCACAACCCCTCCGCCCCCCTCCCACCTGCTCTCCTTCAGAAAAAGGAGTGGGGGCAGGAAGGGCACGTCCCAGACCTAAGCTTCCAGTCTGAACGTCTTTCACACAGGCCGACGGGATGTGCAGGACCAGGGTCGCCAGAGCAGTGCGAGTCTCAGTGGGTTACTCACTGTTAGTAACTCAACCGCACAAGTTTCATTCTGGAAACAGTCTTTCTCCTTAAATTAAAGACCTAGCAAGTAACCCAAGATTCACACCAAGGTCAGGAGCAGGATGGCCAACTGTCCCGTCAGCTGGAGACGGGGTGTCCAAGAGCACAGGACTCTGAGTGCGGAACTGGGACACTCCAGGATGGTGGGTGCCTGTCAGATCCAACCCCCCGGAGCTGACCGTGGTGGTGACACCCACGAGACGATGAGGGGGCCGTCTAAAGGGCCAGGTCCGTTTGCACCGTTAGTCAAACAGCAGTGACGGAACCCACCTGATCCCAAACCTGTGCTGACTTAACAGATCATCCACCATTTGTCTAACATTCATGATGAAGCGTCGTGGCCGCAGCACCTCGATGTGCCCGCAGCCCCGAGTGCCGACGTGTGCTCCCCGCGTAGGAGGAGCACCCGAGCCTCCGGTCGCAGACCGCACAGCTGGGTGTAAGGGACTTCATCCCGAAGCTGCCCTGCCCACCCTCTGGTTTCCGGGTTGCAAGCATGCCATGTCCACTGCCGAGACGCAGGCGATGGGCCACCAGGGCTCCCGGGGGCCGGGCTCCGGTCCCCCGACACTGGCCCAGGAGGGTGCTCGCCGGGTACTCACGCTCTCCATGCCCCGGGCCAGTTCCAACAGCAGCGCCAACGTCTCCCCGGCCGCGATCCTCATGTTCACATCGTCCGAAGACAGGAGGCTCGGGAGCTTATGGAAATGCCTAGAAAACAGGCAGTCGTCACACTGTGAACACAAACGATGTCCTCGATAAACACACTTATAAAACCTGAGGCCAAGGACACGTACGTCTCCAGCCTCTTCTTCAGCTCGCTGGCGGGGCAGATGGTGAGCAGCAGCGCCCAGGCCAGGAGCGCGCTGACGGGGAGCCCGCTGCTGGGGCCGCCGCCCAGGACCAGGGCGTCCTTCTCCTTGAGGCCGGCCTTGGAGAAGAGGCCCTCCAGGCAGTCCAGGGCCGCGTACAGCTCCTAGCGCGAGAACAGGGCCGGTGAGCCTCTCAAGTGAGAAACGGGAAGGGAGCTGCAGCCCAAGGCTCTCTACTCACAGTGATGTCGTCCGTGGCAATGAAACAGCAAACGCCAAAGCACGTGGCACACTAAAAAATAAAATAATAAAAAAAATAAACACACACACACAGACATTAATGTCTGCCACGTTGTATTAATTCTACATCTTCCTGCTGTTGTAATTCAATGTGAACATTTTCTCAACTGCACGCCTACATCTGGGCCCAACACAGTGTTAGAGAGGAGACGGCAGGACCAAGATTAAGGGCAGGGCTGGGTGTGGCTCAAGCTCTGCTACCGAGCTCTAACGTCAGGAACTCATCACCGCTTTCGCTCCCCTAGCAGATCTCTGCAAACCTCAATTCCAATCAAAGACACACGAGGCTTGGTCTCCCAGGTCTCGCCCAAACCAACACGTGCAAATCCCTCAGACTCACTGTTTGCCTCGCCTGGATGCTAGCTGTTCCGTCGCAAATGATTTTCTTCAGGATCGGTCCCAGGGTCTTCAAAACCTCTTCACTTTCGATCCCGGGGCCCAGCTGAACGCAGAGGACAGACGCCAGGGCTGCGGCTGCGCGCTGCTCGTCGCTCTTCCCTGCGGGGGAAGCCAGGAGACAACTGCGATGAGTGCTTCCAAGCACCAGTGTATGAAGGCAGCGGCTTCCAAGTACATCCCGCCGCGGATGGGATCCGTAGCACTCAGGTCGTGCTCCATCACTGACAGGCTCTGACATGAGTGGGAACCCAGTGTGAAGCCAGAGCTCAGCTCTGGACACAGACTCTGCTCAAATCCTAGGCCCACTGCTTAGCTACGATCACCACCTCATCCCTCTTCCGCGGGCAACAGACCCCTCCTCTGTGACCCCTGACGCCGACCTGCGGGAGTGCTGTCACAGTTCAGACAATAAGGACCCTCCAGCCGGGTGACCTTCCAAACCCTCCCTGCACCCCCAGGCGAGGGCACCAGCTCCGACTTCCTCTCCCGAGCATGGCAGGTGCACCAGCTCACGGGACCAAGGAAACTTGCAGGGGCCCCAGTGGGATGAAAACCAAAGCTCTTTCAACCACAGAAATACATTCTATAAAGGCGTAGGTTATTACCTGATAAACTGAAAATGGGTAAAATATGCAGGTTGGAATGGAATTGCTAAAGGTCACCTAGCACAGCTACCTCATAGGAGACAGTTTCCATGGAAACACCTTTAACAAAGCCACTGTAGCATCCGAAACAGTTGGCTCTATAAGGACAGCTCTAACAAAGTTCCATGAGCTTCGGCAGTCTCCGCCGGTCCTTCTCTATGCAGCATGAGCGAGTAGGCAAAGCGCTCCAACCCCAGCAGGACCAAGCTCCCCCTGGGGCAGTGAGAATAATGAATGGAGTGCATCTCATTCAGTTCAGAGGAACACGTGTGCTTCCCACGTGGTTTGTGCTGGAAAGATTTTGTTAATCAAGTCATAATAATGGAAGGTAATGATCTTCGTAACGTTTTCACTTGGCAAAATGAGTAAGGTGGCAGCCCCAAATCTTGTCAATTTTGGTGGTTCCTAAAATTGAAAAGTCTGTAACGCCAGACTTACTCTTTAAGGTCTTTCTTTACTCTTAAAGGTCCCATGATATGACAACCTGAATTCTAGAATCTCTATTATAAAGTCCTAGAACTCAAATATCCTAAGGGGTAACCTGAAAATGACATCAGCCACAGGCAGGCTGTTTTAAATAAGTACAAGGGAAATCAGCTAGAAAATGATGGTCCTTTTTCAATTTTAGGAAAATAAAAAGTGGCTTTTTTAATGCTAGCTTTAGTGACATCTGACCCTGTTCCCAGCCTTTCTGCTCCCCATGACAGCAGCACCCCTGGTCTGATACGACAGGACGACGACCCCAGGCTGTTACCACACAGACAACACGGAGCTTAGGGAGTCTGGCTTCGAGCTGAACAGCGTGCGTTCCTGACCACGGGAGCTGCAGGCCAGGCCGGCGCCAGGGCCGTGACGGGGCCGGCAGAGAGGGAGCCCCGGCGCTCCGACGCCAGGACGGTACCTTTCTTCAGGCAGCGCTCGATGCTGTCGGTCAGAGTCATCCTTCTTTCCAGGAGGAACTCGGAGAGCAGCTTGGAAGCCAGGGCGCTCCGCAGGCCCTCGAGGGCCGCCTGCCTGGTCTTGGCACTGTGGGAACAAGCGCCGTCAGTGCCTGTCAAACTGAGCCTGTCGCCCCTCCTGCGGTTTTGTTTATAGATTTAAAAAATCTAATTGTCATCAGCGCTAAACATTTTTAATAACATACTTTTCATCTACACTCAGCTTATTACACAAAAGATTCTAAGCTGCTCTAGATCACAGCATTTTCCTGTTTATAGTTTAAAACCACAACTTTAAATGACCGCATGGCATTTTATAATTTCAATGGGCAGGACATGCTCTGCTGTATGACATAGTCCATGAATACCCTCCACATTTAAAGTAAACGCACACCTTAACACTACAAAAGCCTCGAGTTCCTGTCCCATCCATCCCCTGGGCTTTTAATTCCGTTGGTTTTAAGCGAGTTCTAGAGCCATGGAAAGTAGGAAAATGACAAGCTTCATATTTTTCATGACCCGAACAAAACTGTGACCAAGAGGCTTACAGGAAAGTCTAGCTGTCCTTTCTAGAACATTAACTCTTAATTCAACACATCCATCCAGGCTGCAGTCAGACAGTGACAGGAATTATGCTAGAACAGTGGTTCTCAACCTTCCTAATGCCTCGACCCTTTAACCCCTTCCCCGGCAGAAACGTGTATACTCGTTTTCACAAAATGTTCTTTTTCAGTCGTCGACGAGTATACTAAGAAAATATGGTAAAAAAATATGGTTTATAGGAAGACGAGTTACAAACTGTTTTCATAACCAGCATCAAAAATACTATATAGAACCAAAATAAAAAAATTAGTCTGAAAAAGAAACGTTTTTAACAAAAAAATTGTTGGGGAAGGGGTTAATACAGTTCCTGTTATGGTGACCCCCAACTATAAAATTACTTTCGTTGCTACTTCATAACTGTAATTTTGCTACTGTTATGAATCGTAATGTAAATATCTGATATGCAGGATGTATTTTCATTGTTAAAAATTGAACATAATTAAGCATAGTGATTAATCACAAAAATAATATGTAATTATAGATGTGTTTTCCGATGGTCTTAGGCGACCCCTGTGAAAGGGTCGTTCGACTCCCAAAGGGGTCGTGACCCACAGGCTGAGAACGGCTGTGCTAGAACATCCACTAATCGGAGTCAATCTAAATTCTAAGGCACATTTCTACCCACATCCAAAGTCCAAAGAAACAAGAATCATTTAGCCATCCAAAGCAAACAAACCAAGCTTAAAATCACACAGACCACATTGTTAAGTCAGAGGCCTGCCCACGGGGCACAGAGGGTGCTGACGAACAGCCCATGGGGAGTCTCCAGGGCGCTCTACCTCTTATCCAGGGTCAGGTCAATGAAGCCCTTCAGCTTGTACTCCAAGTCTTCTTGCGTCCCTTCCTCATCCAGGACTTCCGGTCCTAGGGAACAACAGGGACCAAGCAGCCGCTGTCAGTCCAGTGGCAGGGGAGCAGCTGGGGACAGTGCTAAGACACCTTGGCACAAGAACTCCCCACCAAAGCATCGGTCTGAACTGCCCACGGAATGTAAAAGGCATACCGTCTTCAGCAAAGCTGGAAGGATCGCTGTACCCACTGCAGTGGCTCATGGTTTCGATCGATGCATCCTCGTCACTGAAAGGTTGAATATTTCGATGCTGGCCACCTGGGAAGTCAACGAAGGTGGAGGTAAGAAAGTTTGCAGCCATCGATGCAAATATTTCACTTGAGAATCTTAGTAGTTACTTAAGGGGAATCCAGTCATAAAAACCCAAAACTGCCCTGACCGGTTTGGCTCAGCGGATAGAGCGTCGGCCTGCGGACTCAAGGGTCCCAGGTTCGATCCCGGTCAAGGGCATGTACCTTGGTTGCGGGCACATCCCCAGTAAGGGGTGTGCAGGAGGCAGCTGATCGATGTTTCTCTCTCATAGATGTTTCTAACTCTCTATCCCTCTCCCTTCCTCTCTGTAAAAAATCAATAAAATATATTTAAAAAACAACAATAAAAAACCCCAAAACTTATTTAAGAAAACATGGTTATGTTATATAAGACACAAATATTTCTAAAATAAGTCAATTCACCTAATATGTACTTCCGAGCATGAACAATTTACAATATCCATCAACTTCTGAAATACATCAATCATCTGACCAGCAGCTCCAGATTACAGATGAAAAAACTACTTCCTAACCACAACCTCAAATCAGGAAGACAATGGAAATAGATCCAGAAATAAACTATGATGTCATAGGTCATCATAAGACCAAGACAAACATATTTTCCAACAAGTATGACTTGGGAAACAGTAACTGGTGAATGGGTTTTCTTGGATACACATGTCCTAAGTGAAGGAATTTAAGGAGTTACAGGATGGTAGTTTTATAGATGATAAGTTTTATAGATGATATATCAAATACCAAAACTTCCATTTTAAGCCCTTTTTCCCTCTGTGATCCAGTGGGGTTGCTGGTAATGTTTTGGTATTTGATATAGCCTATTAGATAAATTACCTGTAAAAGAAAGGTTCTAACATAAGCAACGGTTTTAAAAGATCAGTGCTACTAAAAATGAAAAATCTCCTTTTTTAAACTAGAATCTGTCAACTTCATTAACCTAAGTAATAAATCCATATTCCTAGCCATTGTGTTTGTGGGAATTTCATATTAATAACAGGATCGCCCAGTCTGAATTACATTGAGCAATGAGCTCAAATAGCTTCCAAATTCTGCCCCAAGCGGCCTCGAGTCACCTGATTTACCTGAGCCTGTTTCCGATCAGATTGCCAAAACACGTGACACTGACGGCCCTAAGGTAAGTTTTAAAGAAATCTTCTACACTTACGTCGCCTTGTTGTTGGGCTGTTTATTTTTAATGTTTTTTCTTTTTGTAAAAATCAAAACAGAGAACTTAGCAGATTTTTCTATCAGCAGAGGAAGCAGCCTTCCAATGTGCTGCTACCCTAAAGGAAATAAACTGCCAATCAAAACAGTAAGCCATAAAAAATAAGCAATGCAGCCAAGACCCCAAAACTTCTTAGAGTGCTTAGGGCAAGAATAAACAAATAAACAAAGACCTATGACATCACTCTCTATTTCTGGATCTTCATTTGTTTCCAGGATGTGAAGTCATGGCAACAGCTGAGTCATCTGCTTAACTTTTACTAACATTTATTCACCAATTTACAATTTTCATATTCAGCCTATTTCTTATCTGTCAAGAAGACTATTCCTAGGCAGGATTTACTGAGCTCCTGTCTCTAAGTTTCCCATGACTTAAAGGGAATAGAGATTTTTTTTTAAATCAAGGAAAAGAACCCTATATGAATGCCTAACATCTATGTCAGACTCACCCATCTTGTGACCCTAATGAATGCCTAACATCTATGTCAGACTCACCCACCTTGTGACCCTAAGTGCCATTAATGAGGTGCAACTATAGACGCAAGGGCCTTCCTTCTTAGGAAGTTTACTCACTAACAAGGTATTGTTTCCCCCTAAAAAACACCCTCTTCAAAGTAAGTGCTATCGCAAGTATGCACACTTGTATAATAGATCAATTTTATTACCTTCCTACAGCCCTCCACTAACTTTGGAAAATCCATGAAAGTAAAAGAAGTTGGTTATCTTTTTAAAAAATGTATTTTGCCAAACCGGTTTGGCTCAGTGGATAGAGCGTCGGCCTGCGGACTGAAGGGTCCCAGGTTCGATTCTGGTCAGGGGCATGTACCTGGGTTGCGGGCACATCCCCAGTGGGAGATGTGCAGGAGGCAGCAGATCGATGTTTCTAACTATCTCTCTCCCTTCCTCTCTGTAAAAAATCAATAAAATATATTAAAAAAAATAAAAATAAAAAATGTATTTTTATTGATCTCAGAGAGGAAGGGAGAGGGAGAGATAACGATGACAGAGAATCATTGGTCGGCTGCTTCCTGTACTGCCCTTATTTGGGACTGAGCCTGCAACCTGGGCATGTGCCCTGGCGTGAAATGAACTGTGACCTCCGGGTTCATAGGTTGACACTCAACCACCGAGTTATCTTATCTTGACTGTACATGTAAAGATCTCAAATGAACCCCGTTTCTTCTAGATGCCATCTAAAAAGACCAACCAAGTAAGTGGTTTGTAAGTACAACTATCTGACAATTTCCCATCTCGTCTATTAACTATTATTTATTCACTTATTTACTAAATAAGAAGTACATTAACATGGAACCAAATTAAAATTTTTAAAAAGCCAATCTCACCTCACAACCCTCTCTCCAGAGGCCGTGTCAAGTCGCAGATATTCAAAGCACGCAGTCTTACTACAGACTAACCAGTCTTTCCCAGCTCACTGCGCTAAGCTTAAGCACCCTTCCCACGGAGAATCATCCAACAGGCAGCAGCAGGAAGACTGGCCATTCCACTAGGTGCCAGGAAGGAAGGAGGTCCCACAGGAAGTCCCAGACGGGAATACAGGGTTGGTGATGGTTCCAGGCCATTAACCCCACCGGATCCCAATGGCTTCAGTTTGCCGCTTCCCCATGATTTGGGTCATCAACAAAAGGCAAACTTAAATAAAATAAGGACCTTCAAGACGGAAGGAAAATGTTTCCTTCAGAGGAAAAGCTGAACCACAAAAGGTTCAGAGGGATCCTCCGTTCACAGGGAGCAACCAGATGCCACCAACTCGTCATGCATTTTACACTTGGGTGATCAAGAATGAACCTGAGGAACATCAAAAGCATCCAAACCAAATGAAGAGTGGGAGAAAGAAAAGGGGGGACTGCGTTCATAGTAACCCCTTCCGAGTGCCACCTATTCAATGTCCTGCCACGATCACCAGCTTTCGTGCTAGAAACCCTCCGGGAAAGCCTTTCAAAGCCGGTTCCAATCACCCCAACGAGAAAACGCACTGATGAAAAGCATCATTCCGAGGACCAGAGTGGCAACTATGTTGACAAATTTCTAAGGACCACAAGCCTCCCATGCGACAGTCTGAGGGTATTCCGATACTTAACTTGACGGCTTGCCCAGTGAGCTCTGCGCTTAGAGGAGGGGCTTTCTGCTTGAAGCCCTTTTGTTTTAACGGTGTAACTGGCCGCAGGGGATCAGAAGTCCAGTTAAGCAGCCACCCATCCCGGAAAAGCTGCCGCTGTGCGGCGGGGACACACCAGAGACTAAACTTTGGCCAAGTGCAACCCGAGCTCGCGCACCTCCCCTCTGGGCTCGGAGCAGAGAACCTCCAGGACAAAGGAGAACGCGGCTCTGCCCCGGGGCGGGCAGGGCGCCTCCCCGGGTCGCGGCGCGGCGCGTTGGGGGAGGGGAGGTTTCTGCAGGTGGCACTTCGGGTT